CGTACTTTTTCTTCTTTTTTTTTTTTTTTTTTTCTTTTTTTTTAATTAAAAAAATCGAAGATGGACAGAATCAACGAACTCTTATTATTATATTACACGTGAATCGCTCATCCCATCGATAAGTCGGGATAAATGGAATCCTATCCGATGTAATTTAGCCGATCGGTGCTTGCCTCGCGTTCAACCCTATCGAATCGATCGTTCCTCCCCTCGAAAGGCACGGGAAAATCATATCGACTCATATTGAGAAGCGAAGGGCTCGCTCGCTCGTCTCCTCGTTTCTTCGTCTTAATCTATAAAATATCGTGCTTCGTGTCAAACATGATTCGGTAGAAAAATGGAAAATTCGGGGGGGGAAATGCGTATTTGCGAGGATCGTTGAAGCGGTGGTGGTAAGTTGTGGTGGTAATTGCTCCCAGTGTTTCAGCCTTCTACGTTTCAATATGTATATGTACATATATATTTTTATCGTCTCTTTTTTCTCTGGTATTTGTTCTTTTTTTTTTCTTGTTTTTCTTTTCTTTTTTTTTTTTTTTTTTTTTTCGTTTTTTGGTTTTTCGAATTTTCATCATTCAGTTCTCGCGACTCGCGGAAGGATTATACGGAGGGGGAAGTTTTATGGAGTTTTGGGGGAAAGAGAAACATTTTACGGGGGGAGGGAGGGTATTAAAAAAAGTGTAGAAGCGATAGAAAAAGTCTGGATTCGCGAGCTGGCCGAGTGTCGCGATAAATATGCATGCCGGAAACAATTTACGAGAAGGGAGTGAACGATCTTTTAATATCGGCTCTTGCACGAAATATGAATGAATTTATCCGATCCGCCACGCTTGTTTTCTTTTTTTCTTTTCTTCTTTCCCTCGCGCTGCCATCACTACTTAATCTTATACGAAGGAACAAAAGTCTGGTTTACTCGATATTTGGCACAGATTAAACGGAATTTTCACCCTGCGTGTTGCTCGCTTGTCTAACTGGCGCAGTGTGCGATGAGAACGATTTCTTCTTTTCTTCTTCTTCTTCTTCTTCTTCTTCTTCTTCTTCTTCTTCTTCTTCTTCTTTTCCTCTTTCTTTATTAATCCTTCTCTCATTTCGTTCGAAAATCAATTCGATGCTAATTCGAAGCGTAAGGTTCGCGGAAACGTCTATTATTTTTTTCTCCCATGGGCTTTCTCTCTTGCTTCGATACATATTAATGTGTGTCAAATATTAAGCATATGGCGTGTACGTGTAGTTTGCATGTATGTATACATATATACGTGTATATATTCGTGGATTTATACGAATGCTCATGTATATAACACATTCTGACGATATAAAGTCGGCCGGTGAATTAATAATAACGTATTAATTATTATCATCGGTATTTAGGAGATTTGCGTGCGGAGAAGAAGTCAAATAATAAAATCGTCAATCTAATTCGTTTACCCAATAATCGTCGCTTATTTATCGTTATCGAGCTCCCTTTAAATATTCCGAATAATCAGAATAAGAAACTTCACTTTACACATCCAGTGGTATCCCAAATCGATATAACGGATAGATATTTTTCCCCTTTATTATTCTTTATTATTAGAAATCGTCAGATTCTTATTTACTGTAACGTATCGTGTAACTAATAAACGTCTTAATCGATCTCGTTCATCGAATTCTCGCTCGTTTCCAATTCATTTCTTTCACTGCGCGAACAACACTGGAACAACGCGTATAAGTCTGTGTTGGAAAAAGGCAAAAATGAAAGAAAGAGGAGGAGGCTGGGGGAACAAGAAATTAAAAAAATATATAATACGGCGTCGTCAAAAAGTGAACCTTCTCCTCGCGTACCTTATTATATAATGTCTGTCTCTCTATATATATATAAGTTGGATAGCTTCTTCTTTCTTTCCTTTTTTCTTTGAATTCTCGTAACAATATATAAATAAAAAAAAAAAAAGAGAAAGTAGATAAGTATTATGCGCGTGTATACATATATATGTATATACATGTATATGTATATCTATATATACACATACACGCACAAATTCGCGGAAAAGGGGATTCTCGTACCAATTACACGTCTTATGTATATACGTATATGTCGTGTGTACATATGTATACATCATAGGTACGATATACAGCATACGCAGCCTTACTTATCTATGAATAATTATTAAATTGTGGTAGCAAGTTTCGTCTTAAGCCTACGAAAAAGAGAAAAGAAATGATGATGATAATATTATATCCTCGTAACACGAGGAGAGAAAACGCTCGCTTCGCTGTCTCGATTCGCGAAGGGATGAATGGAGGGTGGGATGGGATAGACTCGATGAAGGAGCAATAATATGATGAGGAGGAGGAGCAATATAATAAGAGGGGGAGGAAGAATCTTTCGAGATTCATGGGGGTGGAGGGAGGAGGGGAGAGGGGAGGGGAGGGAAGTAAGACACATGGGGAACGCGATGTTCGCGAGCGAAGTTCTCGTTAAAAGAAAGAGGAAGAGGAAGAGGAAGAAGAAGAAGAAGAAGAACGAGAAGGAGGAGGGAAAAGAAAGAAAGAAAGAAAGAGAAAGGAAAAAAGGAAAACGAGACACGCCGCGAACCGAAAGGTGATATTTACAAGAACTAGCGAAAAGGATGGTGGTAATGGTGATGATGGAGTTGGGATAATAGAAGAGGCGCGTTTTGGGGGGGATGAATCGAGGGAAACATTTTCGACGACTCGGTGGCGAGGATCCTTTCGTCTTCGAGTTTCGACTTTTGGTCCCACCTTCGTTTCGAGTCTCGACCGACCGCGCGAATCCCTTCTTCTCTTCGAGATAGGCGACCCGCGCGGTCGGCTCGCTCGCTCTCTTCTAACCCATCCGTTAAAGAACGGTTTCGAATCGTCGATTCGAAGAATCGCGACCGCAAAGAAGCTCGACAATCCCCGTTAAAACCGACGAACGATCGCACGTGCTCCTCTGCGATCCGACCCGATCGAACGGGAACATATAACAACAATCCTTTTTTTGACGCAGATCTCCGGATGGGATCGAAACGAAGGCGGACACGACGGGCAGTAGGAACATACGGAAACGTCGACCGAACGCAACACCGATAATTAATAATGGTCGGTCGACGATTGCAACATCGAACGCAAGGAGACCTTCCCGAGCGTCTCTTCGAGGAAACGGAGCCTCCGGCTCGAGCGTGAAACATTGTCGCTGAAAAGATTCTTGTTCTTCTTTCTCTCTCTCTCTCTCTCTCTCTCTCTCTCTCTCTCTCTCTCTCTCTCTCTCTCTCTCTCTCTCTCTCTCTCTCTCTCTCTCTCTCTCTCTCTCTCTCTCTCTCTCTCTCTCTCTCTCTCTCTCTCTCTCTCTCTCTCTCTCTCTCTCTCTCTCTCTCTCTCTCTCTCTCTCTCTCTCTCTCTCTCTCTCTCTCTCTCTCT